TGCCCCTTCCCTCTCCCTACTGGTAACAACTAGTTTGTTAACTGTATCTGTAAGTCTGTTTCTGTTATGTTATATACATTAGTTTGGTTTACTTTTTTAGATTCCACATATAATTGATAACATACAGTATTTTTCTTTCTCTGACTTATTTCACTAAGCATAATACTCTCTAGGTCCATCCACATTGTTGCAAATGGCAGAATTTCATTCTTTTTATGGCTGAGTAATATACCAGCCATAAATATGTATATATTATATATCCATTCGTATATATATATGTATATAGCCATTCATCTGTTGATGGACACTTAGGTTGCTACCATATCTTGCCTGTCATAAATAATGCTGCTATGAACAATGGGGTGCATGTATCTTTTCGAATTAGTCCTTCCTTTCTTCCTTTCTTTCTTTCTTTTTTTTTTTTTTTTTGCGGTATGTGGGCCTCTCACTGTTGTGGCCTCTCCCGTTGCGGAGCACAGGCTCCGAACGCGCAGGCCCAGCAGCCATGGCTCACAGGCCCAGCCGCTCCGCGGCACGTGGGATCCTTCCGGGCCGGGGCACGAACCTGTGTCCCCTGCATCGGCAGGCGGACTCCCAACCACTGCGCCACCAGGGAAGCCCCCTTTCTTTCTTTTGATGCTTCCCCCAGGAGCAACCTGTCAGCCACCTTGGAAGTGGATCCTCTAGTTTTAGCCAAGCCTTCAGATGACTCCAGCCCAGGCCAAAATCTGGCTGAATTCCATGAGAATTCCAGAGCTAAGCTGTATAGCCAAGGCACTTACAGATTTCTGACTGATAGAAACCGCCAGAGATAACAAATGTTTATTGTTATTTTAAGCTGCAACAATAAGCACATGTTTATTGTTGTTTTATTGCTGTTTTTAGGTTTGGGGTAACTTTTTAGGCAGCAATAGATAATTAATACAACAGGTTGAGAGTTTTGGCAGCAGCAGTGCTCTTGAAGCTAACATTCCAGCTTTCTATTTATAACTTTCCCAACTGGGGCAGAGATAGCAGTGACCTATCAGGCCTGTTTGGCCACACTGTACTGAGAGGCATTCTTGATCACCCAGCCTAATGCCCACTCCTCCAGTCCTTCCAATTACTTTGTAAACACCTTCTCTGTATTACATCTTTTTCTGCTTAAAATAGCTGAATTGGTTTCTGTTACCTGCAACTGAGCTTAACCAAATAAAAATACCCATCTCAAAGCAACAACTAAACAGTAGAGGCATTCCTGCTAAAGTCAGGAATAAGACAAGTAAGTTGGTTATTAACAGCATTATTTGATATCGATCTGGAAATGCTGTTTCATTATAAGTCAAGATAACGAAATAAGTATTGCAAAGAAGGAGCCAAAATTGTCATTATATATAATAAGGTGATATAATTGTCTACCATGGAAATTTGAATGAATAAGCTAAAAATAAAAACTATTAAGAAAGTTGAGTGGGTAAGTCAGTTAAAAATTTAACAAAAAAACAATAGCTTTCCTATGTAGCAACAATAACCATTTAGAAAATATAAAAGAAGACATAATTTAGTCCAGTAGGAAAAAAATGCATAAAGTCACTGGGAAAAATAAATTCATAAATTTAATGCAATTTTCATGAAAATTCCAGCTTTTTTTTGAACTTGGAAAATTTTATAAAGTTATCTGGAAGAATAAACATTCAAATAGAGATTAAAAATTCTAAGAAAGTAAGACTAACCAAAAAGGACTTGTCCTATGACATATTAAAATATATTATAAAATTGCATAAAAGTGTAGTGATTTTGCTTCCAGAATGGTTAGACTGATCAATGAAATAGAAGAAAAAGGCCAGAAAGAGATTCAACTTTATGTAAGAATTTAATATCTGGTATACATGTTGGGAAATCAGTGTGGCAAGTATGAATTGTTCAATAAATTATATTGTGGCAAATAACTTTTTGAAAAAATTATATTCCTATGTCACATTTTATACTAGAATAAATTCCATTTGGAGCTAAATGAAATAATCACTTGTTAAAAACTCTTAGTAAATTATAAATAGAAGTAATTAAAGAAGTTCTAAAACATATAGGTAAATATCAGTATTATTTAGGCTAATAAAGCCTTTTTAGGCTTAACATCAAAGCCAGAAACCAGGAAGAAAATTTTGATAGATTGACCATTTAAAAATTATAGCAAAACAAGAAGTTTTTACCCCTTTCCTCCCCCAGTAAGTGATCAACTGGGGGAAAAATTGTAAAATATATAAGAGACAAAGGTATGTTTTCCTTATAATGCAAAGAGTTCATATAAATCAAGAAGGAAAAAGACAGATATTTTCCCTGAAAAACATTTTCTCCTACCTCAGAGAAAAATGGGCTAAGGAGGTAAAAAGGCTATTCACATTAGAAATCAATTGGTCATGTGAAAAACATTCAACCTTCTAATAATCAAAGAAATGCACATTCACAAAAAAGGATATCACTTTTAATTTTCGGATAGGCACATTCTAAAAAGAACAAATCCACTCTCATGAGTGCATAGGAACTACATACTGTGACCACCACTGGGGAGAGATACCTTCCCATATGTAATAAGGGCCTATATATAAAAACTTAGCCAGGGGCTTCCCTGGTGGCGCAGTGGTTGAGGGTCCGCCTGCTGATGAAAGGGACACGGGTTCGTGCCCCAGTCCGGGAAGATCCCACATGCCGCGGAGCGGCTGGGCCCCTGAGCCATGGCCGCTGAGCCTGTGCGTCTGGAGCCTGTGCTCCACAACGGGAAAGGCCACAACAGTGAGAGGCCCGCGTACCGCAAAAAAAATAAAAATAAAAATAAGCATGTGGACCTATATTGAGTTGTATGAAAGATGTCCACAAAGTATTCATACCAAAAGAGTAGAGTTCAAAGAACTAAAATAAACAATGTGTTGTTCTATGTCTGTACATAGAAAAACTCTATTATACACCAAAATTTTAATAACAGCTATTTTGAGGTAGATTATGGGTAATATCCTTCTACTTATTTGTACAGTTCTGCACTATCTGAATCTTTTGCAATGATCATTATAACCAGAAAAAAGAAAAACCAACTCTGAAGAAGGAGAGAATGAGAAGAATGAGGAGAAGAAAAGGGAGGAACGGTGAAAGGGAGGGAAAGGCATTTTCTGGGAGTTTTACCCTTGCTTCAGTTGCTTTTTTTGTCTTCTGAGGCTACGTTGTAAAAACTTCCTTCTCTTTCAGTTTCCTACTTTCCTCTTAATCCAATTGGAGAGGCTCTTAAACAATGTATATTTAATCCAAAATCTTGTAATTTAGGGAAAAAATGATAAATCAATCCATGATCTTGATTTTGCCCAAGGAGAAAATGCAGTTCGATGGGATTACCAGCCACACAAAACACCTGTAGATCAAAATATGCCAGAATATTTATTATCTCAAACTGTTTGCTGTTCTACTTTAGCAAAACCTTTCCTAATGGGAAGGTTAAGAAGGACATGGAGGCCACTTATTTCTTCTTCTAGATACCATATGTAATGCTTATTTGTGCCCCTTGAAGAATTGTTTTCATTTGGTTGAGCTTTGTGTAATGCCTTCAGCTAAAAGTTGGAGACCTTCTTCATTCATTCATTCAACAAATATTTATCGAAGCCTCTCCTGTGCCAGGTGCTGTTCTGGAAAATTGGAACCTATCAGTGTCTAGCTTTCCTGGAACTTGCTTTCTATCATTCTAAGAAACAGCCATATAAAGGTAGCTATTGGTGAGGCTATCTGTTACTTTATTCAGTATCCCATAGAGAAGTTTCTTTAAGACATGAGAACTGGAAAAGTAGTTGAGGAATTCATGTATACTTTACTCATAAGCAAATAAAGGAAAGTTTATTTGTTTGGGTTACCAGGAAGCTTAGTCTATTGTTAGCTCAACTTGAGGAATTGTGTAAGATTTTATGTCCATCCTATTATAATACAAACTTTTCCTCCTTTCAGAACTCCTTATCTTCCTATTTCATCTGTATTTTCACTGGCCTTGCTCTGTAAAAATTTGAGTTGTTTCACTATATTCTAATGTATTTGTGAACTGCTTCAAATTTGAAATACCTTGTGGGACTAGAGGAACAAAATAACACCATGAGGAAACAGACAAATCCAGAATGTGGTGCATTTTTCAAGACAACTGACCTTGTCTCTTCAGAAAGCCAATATTAAGAAAAACTAAAACGTGGAAGGGACTATTCTAGTTTGACAAATGGGGGAAAAAACAATCGAATGCAATAAGTGAGCCGTGATTGGATCCTGGTTCAAAAGAACATATCTGCTATAAAAGATGATTTTTGAGGAAAGCTGAGCAAATTTGAATATGGTATGGGTAATAGATATTAGCAAGATTGTTAATTTTCTCAAGACCTGATAATAGTATTATGACTATGAAATAGAATGTTCTTATTTTTAGAGGTGCATACTGCAGCATGTTTGGGTGGTGTGTCTTGGGATGATTCTGCAAAAAAAAAAATGTTTTACAAACACTTATATACAGATAAAGCATATATGGCAAAATGTTAATTGTTGAATTGTTGAGTCTGGGTATTGGGTACTATTGTTGAATTAGAGTGGATACTGTAATATTCTTTCACATATTCTGTATATTTGGAAATTTTTATAATAAAAACTTGGAAAAATTAAATTACATATGAATGACTTATTCACCTCTTTTTTCTTCTAGTACTCTATAAGTGTTTGAGTGAAAAGATCTTGTGATATAGCGAAAGGGGAAAGGAGCAATTCCAAGAAGAATCTGATCAGCAGTCTTAAGTTCCAGGATAACGAAGATTATTCAGAAATTAGGTATCTAAAAGATCAATTCTGAGCGATACTGGCTTCACTGGAGGTAGAAGCTAGAATACAGAGTATTGAGAAGTGAGGGCCGACCACTTTTTCAATAATTCCCAGGTTTGTTGTTATTTTTGCCGCTGTTACTATGACATCACCGGAGATCTGGAGCTACTCCAGCTCCAGACCTCATTCGAACTCTCGCGATACTAGAGCCCGGTGGAGCGCGAAATGCGGTGGGAGGGGCTGGAACGAGATCGACTGACTTCCGGCCAGGCCGTTGTCTGGGTGGCGCGGTCGAGTCATCGTTGGGCCTCGCCGCTTCCATCTCTCTTCCCTCCACCGCCCCCCCCCCCCCGCCCCGGCGCGGGGGGTCGACCAGCCAAGTGGGGCGGGAGGCGACTCGGACCTTCCTCTTCATTTCGTTCTGGCCTGCTGCCCGGGTACCCGCTCTGGGTCCTTGGGACCAGCGAGGCCCGGTCTGAGGGGCCGGGGCCTACGTGGGCCCGCCGTCGGGCCCCATGAGGCATAGCCTGACCAAACTGCTGGCGGCCTCGGGCAGCGACTCCCCAACCCGCAGCGAGAGCCCGGCGCCGGTCGCGACCTGCTCGCTGCCCCCGGACTTGTCCCGGGCGGCAGCGGAGGACGAGGGGACGGCGGCGGCCGGGTCTCCCGGCCGCAAACAGCCGCGCGGCGACGAGGGCGAGTCGGACGCCGGGAGGGGGGGCCGCGGCATCGTGGCCGCGCGCGCGCCCTCGCCCGAGGAGATGGAGGAGGAGGCTATCGCCAGCGTCCCCGGGGAGGAGACGGAGGACATGGACTTTCTGTCCGGCCTGGAACTGGCGGATCTGCTGGACCCCCGGCAACCAGACTGGCATCTGGAGCCCGGGCTCAACTCGCCCGGGCCTCTCTCCTCGTCCGGCGGAGGCTCGGATAGCGGCGGCCTGTGGAGAGGGGACGACGACGACGAGGCCGCGGCTGCCGAGATGCAGCGCTTTTCTGACCTGCTGCAGAGGCTGTTAAACGGCATCGGAGGCTGCAGCAGCGGCAGTGACAGTGGCGGCGGCGAAAAGAGGCGGAGAAAGTCCCCGGGAGGAGGCGGCGGCAGCAGCGGCAACGACAACAACCAGGCGGCGACAAAGAGTCCCCGGAAGGCGGCGGCGGCTGCTGCCCGTCTCAATCGGCTGAAGAAGAAGGAGTACGTGATGGGGCTGGAGAGTCGAGTACGGGGTCTGGCAGCCGAGAACCAGGAGCTGCGGGCCGAGAATCGGGAGCTGGGAAAGCGCGTACAAGCATTGCAGGAGGAGAGTCGCTACCTACGGGCCGTCTTAGCCAACGAGACCGGACTGGCTCGCTTGCTGAGCCGGCTGAGCGGCGTGGGACTGCGGCTGACCACCTCGCTCTTCAGAGACTCGCCCGCCGGTGACCATGACTACGCTCTGCCCGTGGGAAAGCAGCAGCAGGACCTGCTGGAAGAGGACGACTCAGCCGGAGGAGTGTGTCTTCATGTGGACAAGGATAAGGTGTCGGTGGAGTTCTGCTCGGCGTGCGCCCGGAAGGCGTCGTCTTCTCTTAAAATGTAGGGTCAAGTAATCTGCTCTTTATCCGCGTTTACCCCTTTCAACTCCCTTACACCATGTAAAACACCTTAGTGGGACATCTTCACTGGACACATTTCAGAGGAGGAAAAAAAAGTAATATTGAATCTTTAAGTGTTTAGCTAAAAGCATGAATGTGACACTGTAACCAACTCCTAATGATAACATGTCACTATTAAATCTCTCTGACAGTTTCTTTTTTAGGTGATTTCCTTCCTGCCAGGCTCCGTTGTAGGGGTTACAGAACAGTCGTTCCCGCCTCACAACCTGGTAAGGATCCATCTCTTCACGTAACGCTCATGCTCTGCTGCTTAGTCTACTTTAATGGGCAACATCTCAATTTGTGTGTGTGTGTGTGATTTTTTTTTTCTTTTGTTTTTTGGAAGGTGGGAGGGGAATCTAATTTGGGCCCTGTCCACCCTGGAAACAGACTTGTGCTGGTCAATATTGTATTCAAGTTGCTTCTTCTGGTTGAAATAGCTGTTAATGTGTCCCCTTGTTCAGACTTGCGTGTACCTAGCTCTTCTGTCCCCAGTGTGGACATGGCCTTGGATGACATCGGTTCCAACTGTACACTGAAAGCTGCTAATAGAGATACAGTTTGGAGAAAGTGACACAGGTGAAGTTGAATGGAAGTTCCGAGTTGTACAAGGTGCAAATTGGAATTCCAATTTTAGAGCAACTTTTCAGAGGTTGACAATAAGTACTTGGGGCAAACACAAATGTGATAGTTATTTTGTGGAGATGACAGAAATCTCTTAAATATTCAAGAATGCCTTTTAGTTTTCATAGATCTAGATATACAATCTATTCAGATTAATAGATTTTTATATCTCACCATTAGAGAAGTTGGAAATTAACATGCATATCAGACTCCTGTGTTAGTTACTTAATGGAAGAATAAGAATGGTTAATGAAATGTTTCTTTGAGGACCAGCACAGTGATTTACCCTATCACTGAGTATGAATAAATTGTTGAACACCTTTATTTTTGTTGTATTAAAATTTTAGGTTAAATTTATGTATGATTAGATATTGAAGGTTATGAAATGTGAATGAAAACGTGTAAAGTGAGGCTTCACAAAGAATCTTATTCTCCATATTTTAAGGGTATTTGTCCTATTTAAAAGTAAGTTTTAAAATTGAGTGACTTAATGACACGATTGACACTTTTTCCAAAGTTGGGACATAGTCTTCCTTTGAAGTACTCTATTATCTATTGTCCAGTTGTATAGATTTGAGTCACAGTGTCTTTCAGTGTAAGAGACATTAAGAAATTCTTTGTGAAACATCACTGTTTGATAAAGTATATACGTATTTAGCATCCTTGTTTTTCTTTGTGCTAAAGTGGATACAGCTGTTGGGGCAGAAGAGACGGGACCAGCTGCTGGCCACATTTCCTGCTTTATTTTAAAAGGTAGTATAAGAAATGAGGAAAAAGAGGTAATATCAGGGCTTCTGCTTTTATTTTAAAATGTTCATAATTAAAAAGTATTTTCCAGCAGTCCAAAGATGTAAGTTATCTTACATATAAAATGTTTTATTTTGTTGTTATTTGGTTATGAAAATGGAACTTGTTCTTGCAGAACTGTAAATGTTTTGTTGCTAGATAATACACTTTTGAGACCTAACTTGGTCTCTGGTTTCCAGTGCATTACAGCATATTTTGTAAAATCATCTACTGCACTTGAGCATGAATGGATAGTAGCCAAACTCACAACCTGGAGTGATGAACCTGCTTATACCTAAGTGCAGGAGCAAGCCCCTCACAATGCAGCTGCATGGATTTTTAGTGCCTACTGAATTATATATATAAATATATATAAAAACCAAAAGTAGTTGGAAAAGTTATTTGAAATGACTAATTTGTGCTATCTTTATGGAATATGTTAATGTAGCTTTTTGAAACAGAAGCCTTGAATTGAAAGTTAATTAATACTTGAACATTTTGTATATATTTCTTTGTATATAATTTTGTGCAGTACCAATGACAAAAATATGATGTCATAATAAAACCAGGTTTGTTGATCTTTCAGTCATGGGCTCAAATAATTTATTCATCTCTAACATGACATTAGAAAATAACGGATGAAAATAGGAAAAATGTTTGTTGTTAATGCTGTGGGTCTTAAAAGGTTCTGGAAGCAGTAAGTGCGTTTTTCTAAAAATTATACCATTCCCTTGGAATATTTTCTTCCTAACGTCAATGATTTTCCTGCATTATTTGAAGTTTGGGGCTGGGGAGAAACAGTAGTCAAAGCTTTCTGAATTGGGATGATTTGACATTCCAAGTATAGATTTTTAGAATGTCATTTTATAAATGGCAGTTTTTGGAAATACTTGATTAAGAACTTTTGAAAATGGAGATTAGTATCGACTATTTTAAAAGCTGCTTTGTTAGGTTGCTTCTGTTTTAACTGTCTTTTCTTAGTTTCCATCTCATTCTCTTTTTTTTCTAATTTTGGTAAATTAGTGATTTTGTCATTTTTTGCATCAACGTCATGGTCTTGTTTTTACATGGTATTGCATGTATTTAGGACCTATCTAACAGGGGCTTTAAATAAATTTGGTCATATTTATGTGTAAACATATTTTACTGTAAATGTTTGGGTTTCTGAATTTACAACAGATATGTTTATTTCAGTATGTAGTAAACAATATCTTAAAGTGTCCTATTCACTACTTGTTAATTAAAAAAGTTATGATTAATATGAAACCGTTGTCTTACTATTTTTAGAAAATTGTGTTCTGAATGATTAGTAGTTGGATAAAGGAGATTTCTGGAATATAATATGGATTTAGAAATTTTCAGGTTTGGCTCTATTTACTGTAATGGATGAAAGCAATTTAGTGTTTGGGGAATCTTTTTTTTTTAAATTTTTTTTTCCTAATTGTGCCTCTGTGGCAAAATGATACAGCAAGTACTAAAGATGTAGCTTTTAATGTTTGTCTTCCGATGGTGACAGGAATTTATACATTAATTGAACTAACACATCATATTGACTTAATGTTTCTGCACTTCCTTGACCAAACCTAACTAAAAAGTCCACGTTTGTTAAAATGTAGTCACACCTCTGATATAATCCGACAAAAAGTGTTCGAAATATTTTAAATATCTGTGCATTTGATAATCACTAAATTAATCTCTCTCTCTTCTCTTTAAACAGCTTAGCAGTGTCTGCAAAAACGAATCTTTTCCTACAACCTGTTAACTGACTGGACTGATGGTAACAAAGTAATTGTGGGAGCCATGTCGATCAAAAATTTGGCATCTGCTGAAAAAAATGAATGCCATTTTCAAGTTCCCAAATTACTTCTATACTGATTTCACTTTCCAGAAATGGAGATATGAAAAGATTCTCTGGAATCCTTGAAAGACTTAATAGAAATACATGAGACAAAGTTAATTTTGGAACAAAATTATACTTATTTTTGTCTTTCATGGGAGCGATACTCAGTTCTTTGCATACCTTTTAAAAATTGCAACCATTGGAGAAGAGAATGATAGTATTTCATCAAGGAATATTAGATTCTTTACATAATCAAGCGCACATTCTGTGGAATTAGATTTAGTGGAGTAGAATTACATAAACAGGCCATCAGTGATCACAGGCATATAATGAGTTTGTATTTATTTCCTGGAACATAAGAACTAATCTGAAGTACAGACAGACGTTGCTGAGTAGAATATAAAAGTTAATGTAAAGTCTTTAAAGAGTAGTCTTTTTAAATAGATGCATTGATTTGTCTGTATATCTTTGAAAAATTGATTATGATTAAATGTGTGGGTAGTTAATTGCAATTCAGGGTAATGCCAAGATGTGTGGATTCTGAGGTTTTTGGCTTCTTGAGCTTTCTCCGAGGACTTATTAAAAATATTTTGAGGTTTCTAATGAATGGTATACTAGTTTCTACTGTTTTATATTAAAATTTCTCTAGTATGTAAGGGCTTTAGTATTCTGGATGATGGGAGTGGCTTTTTTCATGGAATATGGTTGTTTTACTTAATTGAAACATTTTTCCAGTTCATTACAAGTGTGAAAAAACACTCAAAACTCTGGTGGTTTTATTTCATTTTTGTTGGATTATGTTAATACATTCTTTCACCTGGTCTAGACTGAGTCATTTTATCTTACTGACTCATTTGGGAAGTGTGCAGATGATAGAAGTGGGAGGGGGTAGGAGATAGGTAGGCTCTTAATCTTCTTTCCAGAATGATTCATCATAATAACTATACAGTTTGGTTATTGTATGGTGATACAAAAAATTTATTAAATCCATTCAGTTTCTTGTAAGTGTATTCAGTGTCTCTGATGCCAGGCAGCAAAGCGCATTCCCAGTGGCTTATGCTTATGTGATTGATGGATGCTCCTAGAGTATGAACAGTACAGCTGGTTGTATTGTAACCAAAATCAGGTAGGCATCAACACTATTTGGTGACTATAACTACTGCTTTGAAGAATAGAGTGGATAATTCACTGATAATGAGTCATTACCTTTTAAAGTATGTGATTACCTAGTTCAGTATTTTGGAGGTATGCCTTTAAGCTAAACAATCTTATGACTATTTAAGGTTGAATAGGTAGTAAAATATTTTCAAGTGTTTAGTTTTTTTCCCCAGGCTATCAATACAAAGTTTTGAGACCTTCCCAAATGGTTATATTTTTATATTTTACTGTACTGTTTTTTGTTGAGAAACCAGGTAGTTACCATTTAAGCCAGGGATCACAAAGGGGAGGTCCTCCATTAGAAACTTGTAAAGTGTTTGTTTGGCCAGCACAGTACTTTTTACATGTTTCAACTTGAATACCTTAATACTCTCTGCCAGTCACTCCCTATTGTCTTATAATACCAGACTGAGCTCAGAGCTCTGACCTAGACTGCAAGTGGTCATTTACATGCAGTTTTAAAGTGCAGGAAAATTAAACTGGAGATAATTTAAATTTTATTCAGAAAGTAAATTACTTTATCGTTAGCAATAAATACTGTAATATTAGAGGAAAAATATTTTTTAAAGATAAAGGTTAAAAGAAAGTTGCCCTGTTCATTGCTTTGGTTACTCATAGTGTTTTTATTCCTAGTTTTTTACCTTTCCCCAATTTGTACATTCAGGATTTCTTAGTTAGCCGTTTTTCCCACTTTTGAAAAAGAAACCGGGTCACAGTGGGCTTTCATAATTTTTTGTAGTTTTTGTTTGGCCATGCCACGTGGCTTGTGGGATCTTACTTCCTGAACCAGGGAATGAACCCGGGCCCTTTGCAGTGGAAGTGTGGAGTCCTAACCACTGGACCGCCAGGGAATTCCCAATTTTTTGTAGTTTTCTTGACCCAAAATTTGCTGAAATTCATCTTTTGCTCAATTTTCAGTTAATCTAATTTAAAAATCTAGTCACTTGGTGTTTTGAACATTCGTGTAGCTGTTAATATGTACAGATTTGAATTTTATTGGTGGCCCAACTTCCTTTAAAATGTGCCATCAAATTCTGTTTCCTGGGCTTCCCTGGTGGCACAGTGGTTGACAGTCTGCCTGCAGATGCAGGGGACACGGGTTTGTGCCCCGGTCCGGGAGGATCCCATATGCCGCGGAGCGGCTGGGCCCGTGAGCCATGGCCGCTGAGCCTGCGCGTCAGGAGCCTGTGCTCCGCAACGGGAGAGGCCACAACAGTGAGCGCAAAAAAAAAAAAAAAAAATTGTTTCCTTTTTACCCACTGAGGTCAAACCCCTCTGGCTTCTAATGTACCATAGTCTGGGGTTTACAAATTAATATCTTAATTTAAGTATAGTATAACATGAACCTTCTTTTTTAAAGCCAAATAACTGCACAGAATAAATTTTGAAAGACAGGTTTAAATAGTTTGTTTACTGTGACAGAATTGAAATAAACTATTTTCCTGACTGAGGCAGTGTTCTTCAGGTCTTAGCTAAAAATGACTGTCTCCTTAAATTGTAATGCAGATCACACCAGGCTCGCACAAATTTGCCCCCTGACCAAAAGTTTTGGTAAAGTACGTTTGTAGCAACAGGTTTAAAGTAACATGTTCTTTGGCTTATGTTGCCCATTTCTACTAACTGGGAAGATGATTTAAGAAAAATATGGTAGAAGACAGATGTTAGAAATCGTTTTTGGTTGCAGAAACCATTGTAAATTTTTGTATGTTTATAGATGGTGGTATGCTAGGGAGTAAGTACGGTGGGAGTGTTTAAGTAAGGAAACAATTTGCGCTAAATTATCCATTTAGTAATATCAGTGGGTTTTGAATTATCTAAGTTCATTACACCATTCTCTCTTTTTAAAGGAGTCTAATTCAGTAATTTGGGTTTCTTATTTTTGAAGTTAGGAATTTTAATTCTTTTTTTTTTACTGTGATAAGTAGAACTCTTGCTTTAAATAAAAATGACAGCACACACATAAAATGTATAATTTTGGGTCAGACAGCTTTATCGTGGTATTTTAGCTTGTAAAATAAAGTTTTTTGGGGTTTTTTTTTGCCTTTTATATATGTTTTTCCTAGTTGTAAAGGTAAAGCATATTCATTTCAGAAAGCTGGGATTATCCAGAAAGGAATCAGAATGAAAAGAAAAATCAGCCTTAATTTTATAACCCAGAGAATATCCACAGTAAAATACAGATTCTTTTGTCTGATAATTGGGATCATTTTTTTAATCAAACATAGTTTGATAGGGAATTTTGTTTTATAATCTGTTTCAATTTGTTTTTTTTTTGACCTCGCCACGTGGCTTGCGTGATTCTACTTCCACGACCAGGGATTGAACCTGTGCCCTCAGCAGTGAAAGTGTGGGGTCCTAACCACTGGACTGCCAGGGAATTCCCTTGTATTTTATTAATTGAATTTTACATCTTTGGCTGCACTGCTTTCTTTAAGGGCTACTAAAAGCCTGCCCCACTCTCAGAGCTGCCTTTTTTAGGTGACAGGCTAAATCCTTTCATATAATTTTAAGTAGCATAAGATTATTTAACAGATACATCACTATATTTGAAAAGAATAGTTAAGATGCTTGTGAATGTGGTCTTGGATGACACAAATATTGTTTGGTATGACTGGCTTGTTTCATAAGAAAGTGTTGGTCTAGCTCTGCATTGTGTAATACTGAGGCTATTACCCACATGTGGCTAAACTATTTAAATTAATTAAAAGATTCAGTTATTCAGGTGCACTAATCAAATTTTGGGTGCTCAGTAGCCACGTATGGCTAGTGCTAACATATCAGTCATATATAAAATATTTCCTCATCATCACAGAAAGTTTTGTTGGCCAATGCTGATTTAGATGCTGTTACATGAGAAAATGGTTTCAAGAACTGAGATGAAAACTTTTAGGAAGGGAAACACAATAGATCATTTCAAAAATTTAAATGATCTATCTTAGGAATTGAGGAATAGACCTAGGATATTTCAAAAAACAAAACCAGAAACAATAGGAAGACTATGGCTACCTCAAATTTGAGTGCCTGATGACAGGTGCTACGTTAAGTCAACTTACATATATGATACCAATCTTGAGTGAGGTTACTGATGAGGAAACTGAGGGCCAGAGAGATCAGTTAAATTGCTTAGCATCATACAGCCAAAAAAAATGGCTCAGGTCTATGTGCTTCTAAAGAACTATACCACACTAGATGAAAGCTTCAAAGATAGAATTTACCTTAATCTTATGAGTATAGCTTTCCAATGATATAAATAAGATGACTTTTGAAGTAGGTAACTCTATCATTAGGACAGCTCAAGCTGAGCCTGAATCATCATCTGTGAAGAATACTGGGAATTGATCCCTCTGTAAGGAATGTTTTTAAATATGTTCTAAGATTCTATGAAAGAATAATACCTGTGGAAACAGTGAATTGAGAAAATGAAGTGTAACGTTTCTGTAGTGTATTGATACTCCCTACCCTGGCCCCTGCCATTTTCATTCCTGTTTGGATTCTTTGAGGTTTTCAGTGAAAACTGCTGTGTGGTTTTTTCCCTGTTACAGACCAAACTGCCTAATGTAAAGGAGTAGAGCAAGCAATGTGGGAGAGACGGTATTGGGAACACTAGAGAAGTAGGCTCTTGGCTAAGTGGGTAGTGTTGAATAATTCATTCAGCCTTTTGTTGTAGATCCCAGAATTGTACCTCATGTGATAAATTACAAGTCTTATTTATTCATACTTAGATGTAGGTTATTTTTACAGTTTTATTTTTGTGTACAGATTTGCTTAACCATCACTGAATTTCTAGGTCAGGTTCAGGTAACTGAAGAGCCTTTATAAGTAGTTTATATTGTCTAGACCCAAGGTATGCTGCAAACCCAGTCTGGAGCAAAATGGGAAATAACATCTTTCTAAAGACAGGCTTAGAAATCCTAATCCAGTAATTTAAGATGTTTCCTTTCTCGGGTAGCAGGGCTGAGTTATACCTGTAAGAAAACATTGAGACAGTTCACTAGAAAAGACAGTTGTATCAAGTGGCAAATCTGTGTACAATACATATTAATTCCAGAAGTCTTAAAACTAGCTTAGGTAAAGACTGAGGTAATGCTATTCTCTTCGATGTCTATTAGTCATAAAAACTGTCCTTTTCTCCGTTTCACCTCTGGAAGCTCATATAGTATAGATTGCTTGGTACAAGAGTTCATCAGAGAATAAATGAATTATTTTGGCTTATAGCGAGACATTTTCTGATGGAATTTTCTTTTAGAGGAAGTACTCAAACCCTAAGAACATTATGCATATAATGTAGTTTTCATGCTAGTCACAGTACTTTTTGTAGCTTTGTAGCTAGTATTCAATATATAAAGCTAAGAACCTGAACTACACACCCAAGAGGTAGTGTGATAAATTTCTAGAAGTGTTTTCAAATTCTTGAGAAGTATTCTTTGATTACCCAGAAAAAACAAGTCTTGTTAACTCTTTCAAGTCAAACAGGTAACACTGCCTTAAAAATAGAAAATGTACTTGCTGTTTTAAAGTTTGCATTTTCTAGGCAATCATTTATATATATTACTAAAGTTTTTTGATAATTATGGAAAGCAATCCTACCTGGCTGCTAGGCCACCATTCACAGGGATAGCCAAGAAAACAGGGTACAGGCCACCAAAAACAAGACCAACCAGTCCACCTCGTGTTATGGTACAGGTTTCACAATGTAAATCACCTAGGAAATAAATTAGTTCTGCAAATGGATAGTCAAGCAAACATTTAAAGAATGCAAGGTCCCCTTTTATGTATCACAGATACTCAATTTTCAGGCAGTAATACAGCAAATGCATTTCTACAAGGCATGTTAAAAGGTATAATTACACATATGGATCATCTAAAACAGCCAGGAATAACTGATAAAACCATCTTAGGAAAAATTCCCTAATTTGTTTTGAACTTGAATATAATACTCAGTTTGCACTGCTTCTAGCTTTTTGCGCATGTATTAACAAACCTGAGCTAATATTTTTGTCTTTAAGAAACTTTTTAAACCCATGGTAAATTTAACAATTTGATTTATCTTACATTTTTACATTATGCAGTGTGATTTCATTTTTATAAAATTGTTTATTCATTTCCAGATTAGTACAAGGTATTAAAAATAGAAAGCTATGCTAACGTATGTTTTCACTCATTCTGTTCAGTTTATTGTGCAATAGGTTTCCCTGCACATAAAAATTCTTTCCACACTGATCTTGGGGATTCAAGCAAATACTCATCTAATTTAAACAAATCTGAAGTAGCACTTAAGAGAATTTAAATGGACTGCCTCCCTACTACCACCTATGGTAATAATTTTTTTAAAATTATTAATCAGAAATTCTTTCATGATTTACCTATACTTGGAGTACTGAGCAAATATGGTGAACTGTCCAAAGGAAATCAAGTCTCCATGTATTTGATAACTATTGCACATATACACATTTAGTGCTTTTAGAGATTTAGTGATTTTTATGGGAACAAGATAAAGAGTCTTGTTCCCATAAAAATTTTTTCCCCCTTAAGAAAATTCTATGATTTTTAAAAAATTAAGGCAGCATTTTAAAAAAAATAAAGTTTCCAAATATTTCTTACTAAACACTGTAGGAGAGAGAAGTTAGATAAAGGAAAGTATTTAGAATTACTGTGTATATATTTTACTTGTTTGGTAGACCATGCTAATCTGAATTAATTGCTGCTTTACATAGAGAGGCTAGCAAGGTTCAGTCTTATCCAAGCAGTGACTGTATTACAGCATATAGCCAATTGCTAAAATTATTTAAGGATTAATGTAAGGTGCAAATAATGTACATATACCAAAGCAAACTTGCTGGTGACAGTGAAATAGAATTTACCTGTATACAAAGGTAAACTTACAAAACCTTTGTAAGATACGTGTGCCATCAAAAATGGGATCACTGCCATTGGTAAGCCAGCAGCTACAGGAGCCTGTGTCACATGTAGGATGCGTCGAAAGAGACTATTTGCTATTAGGCCACAGAGGGCAGCATTAAGTCCAATATATGTTGATCCATTTTCAAGCAGATTCCTGAGTCGGTGAGAAAAAACAGTAACTGTTTTTGGCTGTATTGCATGTGTTAGCTCTCCAACAATTCTGGCATATGTTACAGAACTTATCAGGACTTTAGGATTAACAGGATCCAACATTTATATCTTATAGCTCCATAAAACAAAAACCTTTTAAAATCATTGTTTTACATGTAGATTTTTATTCTAAAAGGCTTTGAATCTGGTCAACACTTTAAGGATACAGTGATACATTTAGTTTTGCTAAATGTATTGTGGGAATTTGCAAAGAATATTGGTATGGAAATTCCACCATCCCCCCACCAAGTATATAGCAGGGAAGAGCTTCTGAAGAGTGACTTGGATGCCTCTCTAGGCTCCCACAATACCCAATACTTACTTCTGTAGCAGAACACATTATAAGGTGGTATTAGCTTATCACAGATTTACCTGTCAGGCTTCCCAACTAGCCTGTAAACAACTTGAAGACAGTGGATACAAAGATATAAATATCTTGGTTTCAACAGCACCTGGCACACAGAAGGCATTCAATAAGGTGAAATTGATGTTTCCTTTTACTCTTCCTTGAAGCATTAGAGTCAGGATTAGAGGGTGGAGCATGCGTACTAACATTTAAGGGATCCTCTATGCTAGGTACTCTTTATAAGAGCTCATTGAAATAAGAATAAATTGATGTTTTGGGATAGTAAGTGGTAGAACTGGTTTTTAAGGAAGGCATGTATGAGATTTAAAATGCATGTTCTATGCATTCTTTAGTTTTGGGGAAAAAAACTAAAACTGCTGAATATTGAAAGTATCCAATTCAAAGCCTTCAGCCTATCACTTAACTTCTTTACCATCTGCTTTGCTTCCTATAACACAGGCGTCAACCTCTTAATTTTCTCATTACTCTTAATTAGCCAAACTAGCCACACACAATATCCCCTCTAACTTCTATGGTTAACACTCAAGACAGGTTTTCTAGGAATTCCTAATTGAGCTTTCTACATTGTGTAAGGTACTACTTTTCTTACCTGTCACTTTGCAATCACAATGGTACTTGTCATTCAATCATTGAGCACTTATTGCATGCCGCAGACTTGGTGATGAAGGCACAAAAAATTATCTTCGGTGTTTTCATAGTTTATTATTGGAGAATGAAAGATACGTAAACTTGATATATTGGATTGGCCAAAAAGTTCGTTCGGATTTTTCCATGAAAAATGGGAACAAACATTTTGATCAACCCAGTATAACAAAAGTATTAAAATGGTAATGTTAGTACAAGGGAGGCAGTTTAGAAACTTAGGGTACATAAGACAATATTTAAATTGTGATGAGGGCCTAGAGAGCTACCAAACAACAAAACACATGAATGTGAAAAGACCTGTGTATTCTTGTGGGAGCTGAGGGAATGGGAAACTCGAGCACTTCCTCTAAAATATTTTTATTTTATCTTCATAACAATACTGTGAAATATGTATTATCTTCATTTTTAGTCATAGGAACAAATGCCCATATATATTACATATTATATACATTGTAATATTATATATATAATTATATACATTGTAATATGTTGATATATTAATGTTAAATATTATTAAAAATTACATAAATAAGTACCTAAATATAACAAGGAGTATAACTGGAATCTGAATAGCAACGTTTGCTGTCTCCCAACTGGATTTTAATTTCCTGTGGCTTAAAGTCACATTGTTCAGTTAATAATTCAGTACAAAATTGTTATTATCTAGCAGCCCCATTGCCAGTCAGTGTTCCCAAAAAGTGCCTATACAATTAGAAACGTGAACTCAAGATTTTTTGGCAAGATAATACCCATAAAGTAACTAGATACATGAACTAACACATGAAATATAAGACCAGAAATAACAAGTGGCAATGAAATAGATGGCACATGAAATTATTTTGTAGATTAAAAAGCGAAGTGTTTGATACTAAAGTTTCATACATTTAAGAACTTTTCAAATAACTATTAAACATATCTAAATTGGTAATGCAAGAAATGAGGATTCAAACTTAGGAGAACTAGGATGGATAAAATAGAAGCAGAGGAAAAATAGCGAACAAAGATGAGATGCTGTCATCTGCCCTGTTTAGGTGCCACTGTTCAAAAGCAGTTTATTCCAAATTAAAGCTTACTTTGCAGTTCCAGATTACTTCCCCATTGATTACTATTTCTAATTTGGTGAAAGTCCCAGTAACACAGCCTGCTTGCTTCTCTTCAAGGCTGTCACATCTCTATTCTTCCTGGCTTTCCCTACCTTACTGGCCTGGAAACATGGGCACATGTCTTTTATTTGCTTAAAAAGTTTCTGTTTACCTCTGGAAAACAATAACAAAAACGATGTACACTGTGTGTTTGTGGTGGGGGGAAAGGGAGGTTGGATATACATCTTATTACTGCCCTTGGTTTATGGGTTCTTCCTTGTTGAGCTGGTGTCAGCAAGATTGGAATTTGTGCAAGATAGTAAGATTATACTTCCAAAATGTATTTCAAATCCATCCTTTTTTCACTTCAGCTGCCACCACCACTCACCAGGATTACTATGCCAGTTTTCCTACTGGTCTTCTTCCTTTTCTCGCCTACCTTAAATCTACTTTCCAAAAAGCAACTGTAATGTTCTTTGGAAATGTTAGCTGGATCATTCCCTGCTTAAAACTCCTCCTGTTCCTTCAACCTTATGCCCACTTCCCTTGTACTTTAGTAACACTGGTTCCTCAAATATGACAAACTCGTTGCTCTCTGTGGCCTAGGCATATGCCATTCCTTCCTCCTCCCCAGGCTGACTCTTCTTCATCCTTTTTGGTCTCAGATTTTCAGTTTAAATGGAATGTTAGAGAGGCTGCCTGAAGAACATTTTGTGGGAGAGTACTGGAGTTCACTCAGCGTTGTCTTCAAAGATCAGTATGTTTCCTATATAAATTTAATAATATCTTAAAGATCTTTTAGCCATGATCCCATTTCTCTGACATTCCTTGTCTAGTTATGTGTGTTACATGGCACTCTCTTAGACTGGTAAGTGTAATGATAGAAATGAATTGAGAAAGAAGACAGTTTAAAGGTTTGTTATTTAAATTAGTCCATAAATATATACATCTGCCTATACTGTAAGCCAGATGGAAAAACTGGGAGAAATGAATTTTAGCCTTGACTTAAAGGAAAATGGCTAATCTCTCTGAGCCTTGGTTTTCTCATCAACGTAATAAAAAAAATCTCAATTTCCTCCTGACATTCTATGTTTATATTCAAACCAAATAAATTTGAGATGAATCAATGATGAAAGTCCACCTGATAAAAGAATTTTTTAATTAAGAAGGGATCTTACCTTTCTGCTTCTGGAAGTTGGTTAATTTTTCTGGTTATGATTTCAATTAAGTTCTTCTTGACAGTACCATCTGGTTTATGATTTTCCATCTTGAGCCTTAAATTAAAATGTCATTTTTCAATAATGTGTATCTATAGAAAAACAGCAAAAGAGCTTATAAAAAGCCTTTGGAAGACCATAAATATTTAATTTTAAAAGAAGCAGCCATAGCTTTATTTCATAATCTGAAAAATTAATGCATTAGACACCCCCCAAAAAACCCCCACAATTCTATGAAATAGAAACCAGAACATGGAAGACAACACATAAAGCTTATAGGAAATACAGAATATCTTCGTAACCCTTAAAAATATTGTAAATTTGCAAACAGCACTAACCATAAAACACATAAAGCTAATATTAAACTAATATTAACCAATTAAAATGACCTTGTGTTCATTTACAGATACCATAAAGATAAGCCAGTTGGGGAGAAAATGTTTGCAATGTAACTGACAAAGGAGTAGTTGGTACCCAGAAAATGTAAAGTATTGAATAGTACAAATCAATAAGAAAAAGGCAACCAGCCCAATAGAAAAACTGACAAAAGGTTTGAACAGGCACTTCACAAAGAATAGTCAAACAGACAATAAATATGAAAATATGCTTAACCACTATAATCAGGAAAATAGAAATTAAATTTCAATTACTGGCAAGAATGTGGGGTAACTGAAACTCATGTGCTGCTGGTGGAAGCATAGGTACAACCACTTTGGAAAAGGATTTGGTACTTAATAAGTAGAAGGCACACACTCAGCAATTTCACATCTAGGTACACCCTAGAGCAGAGGTCAGCAAACTTCTCTAAAAGGGCCAGATGGTAAACATCTTAGGCTTTGCGGGTCACATAATGGTCTTTTGTCGAACACTTAAAAAAAAAAAAAATATATATATATATAAAACATTTTGGCTGGCCGTAAAGAAACAAGCGATAGGCTTCGTCTGGCCCACAGGCAGGTAGTTTGTTGATCTCTGCGCTAGTTGAGGTGAATAAAAGATTAAGGGAATGGGTGAATGATTACTCTTAGCCTGAAGATTTAGCTCATTAAATAAGATTTCAGGGTAGCAGAGTTACGAAAATCAAAAAGTTCAGAAAGAACAGACAACATGACTCAAATTTAATTTTCTTGGTTCACTATTCATTTGCTACAAGATTAATTTATAACACTAATTTAACAAATATTTACTGGGTAGCCATTAGATGGCTTGGAAAATATTCAGTACACTGAATTTCATATCCCTAAACTTAAAGTTAACATAAGCAGTACAATGCAGGCTTAGAAATTTACGTCTGGGTTTCCCGGACTCAAACTTTTTGAGGGCCTTGGTTACAATAACGTAAAGATCTCTGCCTTACAGGAACTTTGAATAATTTTATGTTGGGGGGTTGGGGGTGTGGTGGAGAGAGAGATAAAAACAAGTGATCAAATTCAGTATATATAAAGTGTATAATGTATATGTCTGAAATACTGTTACATCAGAAAGTCCAGCCTAATGCTATCACTAGTTTTCTGTTCTGTGCTCTGCATATTGGTGAGGTTCCTGGTTCTGTGAACTAGCCATTTCTAACGTGTCGCTATTAAAAGTCACCCTTAATTCGGTAAAAGTTCTGATCTGGCAGCCCGCAGTAGGCCATTGTATCCCGGTTAATAATAAATCCCTATCAAAGACAATGCCACGTTTAAATATTACAAACATTTCAAAAGGCTTTTGCACTAGCTATCTTCAAGATAGCTCCCGAGATAGACAAATGAGGAAAGTGGGGCCTCTGAAAATTAAATTAGGCCAAGGTCACCCTGTAAATTGGCAGTAAACCCGGCATTAAATTCAAGCACAGGCTTTTCTTTTTTGCCCCCTGTAGGCTTAATTTAAATACAAGATCTTTTTTTCTAGGGTGGAAAGTGTAGGGACCGATTCGGTGCGGTAGAACCGATTCCCCTCCTCCACTTGCAACTCAGTCCCGGGATCTCATTCCCACGCTGCGGTTGAACAGCATGTCCCCACGCTCTGCTTCTCTTGATACTCGCCTTTCACTGCACCCTTTTACCCGGAATGCCGGTACCTTATGCTTTCCTCCCAGCAGTCACTGCCTCCATCAGCCACGCGAGTGCTCACTCCAACCTTCGCTCAAGTCGCCCGGGCGCAGCCATTTTGGCTGCCACGTGACACGGCCCAAGGCGGGCACTGGGTCGCTGCCGGGCCGCTGATTGGGCTTCCAGGACCGAGGTTGCGCTCAAGGGCCTTCTAGCAGTGGGAGGTGCTGTGCCGCGCAGCAATGAGGTTTGGAGACCGCGGAGGGTACTGGTTACAGCCTATCCACGCCTCAGGATAGAGACTGCAGAAAATTGTGAAATTTCCGGATGAAAATTGAGTGATCTTAAACCTGCCCCATTCGTTGAAAATCTACCTTAGGTATGTTACTTAAAACGTCCTGGCCAGTACATTATACTTCGTGTATTGACTTGGGCTGTATAAAAGCTGCACAACCCTTGGCATACGAGATAGGTACTCAGTTAAAAAGAAGTATAAAAGTACCTGAGATTTCTTTGCTCCATCGATAGTATATTCTCCCTTGGACCTTGAGCTCCTTGTGCCATGTTACGATTTGGTTGATTGTGCCACCATAATCTGAGCACCTCAAGAGCAAGCAGGAGCTTGTTTTTTTCTGAGGATCTGTGGGCCCCTGTAGAGTATTGCTTATAAAAGGATGATTAGGTGAATGAGACGAAAGAAAAACTGTTTAGCGAGCAAAGGAGTCTTGTGGCTCCATCAGTCAGGACAATTGAGAATCAAAGTCTTGGACCAAACCTCTGGAGACCTCTGTTTCAGGTCTCCCCTTCGCAGCCTCTTTCCTCACTTATAAAGCAGGAGGGGAAACAGTCTCACTAATTATTTTGTAAAGTTGTGAGGATCCTATAAAAGCTCTTACCAAGGTTGCTTGGAAAATCGTTGAGCTTTATCTAGGGAGAAAGTGGTATTCAAGATAAAGGGCGGGGGGGCTCCCCTGGTGGCGTAGTGGTTGGGAGTCCGCCTGCCAATGCAGGGGACACGTGTTCGTGCCCCGGTCCGGGAGGATCCCACATCCAGCAGAGTGGCTAGGCCCGTGAGCCATGGCCGCTGAGCCTGCGCGTCCGGAGCCTGTGCTCCGCAACGGGAGAGGCCACAACAGTGAGAGGCCCGTGTACCGCAAAAAAAAAAAAAAAGATAAACGGGGAAAACTTCATAGAAGAGGTGATCAGGAGAGGACTCCGCTACCCCCACTCCTTCGCTGAGAGAGATTTATCTGATGTCAAAATCGTGGCTTGTCAACGAACCAGAAAATAAAAACAGGTCCTCATATTCTGAGGTGGAAAGTCAGCGTACATCCCAATCGGAAAGTTTCCGAGGTAAATGAGAAAGTTTGGGAAAGCCAGCTTTTTATATTCTAACGTGTGTGTGTGTGTGTGTGTGTGTGTGTGTATGTGTGTGTATGTGTATGTGTGAGAATATCTTTTCCCCCCAACACTCCATTTTATACTCTTATTCCAATTTAATTTTAAATGGTTTGAAGCTAATTTTGAAGTTAATAAATGTGCATAGTGTACAGTGTCTGTAGCATGCCATTCTGGAGTAATAAAGACAATTTTGTACGTTGAGATTTTATAAAAAATCAGTTCTTTTGAAATGTCAAGATGAAGTGTCAAATTTCATCTCAAATTTATTGGCTTAAATTGCTCATAACTTTCCTTTATTATTCTTTAAAGTCTGCAAAATCTGTATTGAGGCCACATCTCTCTTTCTTGTTATTGGTCATCTGTGTCTTCTCTTTTTTATGTCTGATCAATCTGGCTAATGGTTTATAATTTTTTTTGATCTTCTCAACTAGTTTCATATTTAATTGATTTTTTTTGTTTTGCTTTTTTCTGTGTTCAGTTTGATTGTATTCTGTTCTGATCTGTATTTTTATCTTTCTTATCCCTACCTGAGATTTAAGTTGTTCCTCTTTGTAATTTCTTAAGGAGGAAGCTGAGGTCATTGGTGTAAGATCTTTTTCTCCTCCATATATGAGTTTAGCGCTATGAATTTCCTGCCAAGTACTGCTTTAACTATATCCCACAGATTTTGAAACGTTGTTCATTATTTTAGTTCAGTTCAAAATACTTTAAAATTCTCTCTGCTATTTTCTTTGACCTGTGGGTTATTTAAAAGTGTGTCACTTTCCTAGGCTTCCCTGGTGGCACAGTGGTTAAGAATCCGCCTGCCAATGCAGGGAACATGGGTTCGAGCCCTGGTCTGGGAAGATCCCACATGCCGAGGAGCAGCTAAGCCTGTGCGCCACAACTACAGAGCCTGTGCTCTAGAGCCCACGAGCCACAACTACTGAGCCCACGTGCCAGAACTACTGAAGCCCACATGCCTAGAGCCCGTGCTCTGCAACAAGAGAAGCCATCGCAATGAGAAGCACATGCACCACAACGAAGAGTAGCCCCCACTCGCCGCAACTACAGAAAGCCCATGCACATCAATGAAGACCCAACACAGCCATAAATAAATAAATAAAAAAGTAAGTAAATAAATCTATTAAAAAAAAAGAAGTGCGTTACATTGCTAATAGTTTAAATATCTTTCTGTTATTGATTTCTAATTATATTCCATTGTGGTCAGAGAATATACTTTGTATGATTTGAATCCTTTTAAATTTATTGATATTTATAGCCCAGACTCTTGTCCATCTGGGTAACTGTTTCACGTGTGATTGAAAATAATGTATACGCTGCTGTTATGCCAAGTGTTCGAAAATCAATTAGCATAAGTTGGTTGATAGCATTTTTTAAGACTTCTTTATTCTTTCTGAATTTCTACCAACTTGTTCTATCAATTACTGAGAAAAGCTTATTGAACTCTCTTTTATGGGAATTGTTCTATTTCTCCTTTCAGTTCTATCAGCTTTTGCTTCTTGTATTTTGAAGCTTCGT